GCAGAAGAAGTTAAACTCCGGGAGCCGGAAACGCGTGTTTTCCGTGTGTTATTGTTATTGTTAGTGAAGTTGACGGTAACTTTGAAGTTAGTTTGTTCTTGTTCCGTAGTTAAAGTTGTACCGAGTGGAATAAAAGTTGTAAGCTGAAGAAAGAGTTAGATACTCGGCCATCCACGGTACAATACCTAAATCTTAAGGTTTTTTAAATAATACGAATTTAATCAAAATCTAATATAATTTTCACGTGTCAAATACTTTAGAAGTATTTAAGTTATGTAACCGTAATTTATAGTGAAGTGTAACAAGATATAATATTTTATATCTCAATGATAATAAACTTAGCATGTTATACAAGGTGTCCACAAATTTAAACTATTCAAATAAGAACTTTAAGTGGCTCTAACTTGATTAATTTAAATACAACCCCATATTTTTTAACTTACCAGGAAATACAATTTTTAATTACCTATCGTATGGTATTAGGATGTTAATAGCTAAGTTTTTGCTTTTTTACAAAACACGTCAAATAGCCGTTCTGTGCACCATTTGGTGTTGTTTAATTTAATGTATTAAGTTGGCTATGCCATTTACACATGTCAAATCATTTATTTTATTTGTCAGTTTAGACTGCAAAGTGTCTTTTTGATAGCTAGAGTGGTATTGTTTTTTGTAATGGTAGACGTGTTGGTCGTTATTTTAATGTTTTTATTGTGTTGCTAAGTGAAAATGAAGAATTATCCAAGAGAAGAGCATATTGACATGATTTTCACCCTTGGAGAATGGTGGTAAATAGGTGGTCAGTTAATGTGTGGGGTGGAATACTGGGCCAATATTTAATTGGACCCTATTTTTTGAAGGACATCTAAATGGTTTGGTGTTTCTCCAGTTTCTAATAAAACATCTCCCAATATTTCGTTCGTTAATTTTTAAATGCCAAGTTTCAAAACAGGTGGATTAGCAGAAATGGGTTTCAAAATTGGCCCCCTAGATCTCCGGACTTAACTCCACTAAATTTCTTTTTGTGGGGGTACATAAAAGGAATTGTCTACCATACGCTTCCGACAACTTCACACGATATGAAAACACGCAAAAGAGACGCTTTTAAAACTGTAACTCCGCAAATGTTGTCCAGAGTTAGCAGTGGTTTTGAAGAAAGAATTTACAAGTGCCTGGAAATGGACGGTCAACATTTCAAACATTTGTTATAAATAATTTGACTTTGTTTTATGTTATTGTTGATATGTTATTTAACCTTTTAATTAAAAAAATACCATATGGTGCACAGMACCATTATTTGGAGTATTTTGTAAAAAGGCAAAAACTTAGTTATCAACATTCTAGTACCATTCGATACGTAATTAAAAATTACATTTCTTGGTAAGCTAAAAAATATGGGGTTGTATTTGAATTAATCAAGTTATAGCAACTTAAAGTTCTTATTTGATTAGTTTAAATTTGTGGACACCCTGTATAAAATGGCAAGTTTATTATCATTGGGATATAAAATATGATTTCTTGTTACAGTAGACTACGAATTACGTTTACGTAACTTAAACAATTCTAAAATAGTGGACACATTAAAATAATTTTAGATTTTACCAAAAATTATTACCAAAAAAAATTTTTAAATGTGCACCCGATAGGCGTCTGTGGATTCATCAAATAATACTTTGCGAAAAACAAACGGGCTAGCCGCAAACCCTGTATAGAGTTTTAGTAAATTTTATTGAATAAGTGTATGGAAAAAACATTTAAAATCGATACATATTTCCAAAAAAGGAAGTTTTTTACCCGTAATTATTGCGATTTCAGAACGCAGCTGGCGAAAAATCCAAGGATAACTTGAATGTTCTTGACACCCTGATATATTATTACGCATTACATATTTCCATCGGGATTTTATTAATTGTAAAGAAAGTCATGCAGTGAATGAAATGATTGTATTGTGCATGAATTATGGGATGGTTCGCTTTATGTAAATAAAGGTCGTTTCGAATCTGCTAATTATTCCCGCTAATTAAGCCGTCTTCGAATCTAGTTACCCACCTATGTATGTATTCGTCGTCGCGACAAAACTATATGCTCCTGAGAATTAGCATTAACATAAACTAATAAATAGTTCTTTTATGTTAGGGAAAGAGAATTGAATGCTCAGTTAATAAAAAACAATTTTAGGGCGTAATTTTCTGCATTGACGTGGACGTGGACAAAGGCCTCATATGCACTACTTCCGATGACCGGTCCGCTGTTCTCTGGAAGTTAAGGAATCCCGAAACATTAACCGACGAAACTGTTATCCACTCGCAACGACTGCAAATAACTGCCGAGTGCCAAGTGTATGGACACACATCCAGAGTATTCAAGTGCTTGATATTGCCTACTGCTTTTGCTACAGCTGGAGAGGACTCCTTTGTCATTTTGTGGACTTTTCGAGGTGATTTGATCAGAAAACTCAGTTCACATCAAGGTGGTCCCGTGTGGGCTTTGGGCTACCACAGCGGAACTGATTGTCTCTACAGCGGACGGGCCGATGGGGGTCTTCAGCGATTTACATATAAATGTGCCGCGGAGGAAATTGTGATGCAGTTGCCTGCAACGGAACAGCCCAGACATGTAGCGATTTTAGATTCGAGAAGCATGCTTTGCATGTCGGAAAGCGGCACATTATACCAAGAAGGTGAGTGCAAATTTCAACTGATATTAGGCAAGCATCGAGACTTGCAAAAATACTCTCTGCTCCGAGTCTCGCCATGCAGGAAGTTGGCGGCTCTAGCGGGCTATGAGGGCCAGATTTATATCTACCGAAGTATAAATGCAGAGGTACGATTGATTCATCAGTATTTCCTCAAATCGAAGTTGCGAATTCTGGCATTTCACTGGCTTGATTGCAGAAGGTTTGTGGTTCTGCAACAGACAACTGTCACATTGCATTTTATCCATCAGGAGACGATTCGCGTCGCGGACATATTTGAGTTACCTGCAGGACCTAAAGGCAGATTTACCACTTGCGCTTGTGCTCGGAACAAACACCTTATTATTGGCGACAGCGTAGGGCACATTTACAGCTTCATCTTAGGTAATCGTTTGCCGGTGGATGTTATTAGAAACGCCCACAGCCATCTAGGAGTGACCCAACTCTATGTGAGTCACAACAAGGTGATTTCTTTGGGAAAAAATGGGTTTATTAAAGATTACGCCATTGATGAGCTGACTGGTCAATTAGAATGTACTAGATCGCACCAGACAAACTTTGGTTGGCTGACCGCCATAGAAAGGGGCGATTATATTCTATCGTTTTCTGGCAACACTTTTAGAGTTTCTGATGTCCAATCGGGAGTTTTGCTTGAAGCACGTTGTGGAGGCGGTCATCGCTCTTGGGACTGCGCCTCGGATGATAGAGGCAACTTGTTGTTTTCGTTCATCAAGCAGAAGATGATACACAAAATGACATTCGATTTAAACAGCTACAAGCCGAGCAATTTGATTCAGGGCTGCCATTCTCGCGCTATTAACTGCATGAAACTGGTGGCGTGTGACGACTCCCTTCTAATGCTCTCAGGCGGCGAAGACACCATGCTACGCATCATGGCAATACCAGCAGATGGTTCTGTAAGGGTTTTGGACTGCCTGAAGGTGCACTTGTCTAGCATCCGCGCCTTGCATCTACATCAACTAGGAAGAGACTACAAAGATCAATTGTTGGTAAGTGCAGGAGGCCGCGCCCAGATAATTTCCTGGCACCTGCAAATTTGGAGTGAGACACGCGTGACATGTACGGAGAGATACAATTTTTACGAGGCCTCAAGCCATGACGAGGGCGAAACAAGGATCATGGATTTGAGCACTGCGCATATAGACAATCACTTGGTGCTATTTGCTGGTTGTTCCACGGGTTGCGTCAAAGTTTTCGAAATATTAGACGATTTGACCTTGTTGTATCAGAAGGCCGTGGTGCATTCCAACTATTCCATAACGAAGCTTACCTGCATCACCCAGTACCAGTTACTGGCGTCAATGGCCACCGATGGAGCTCTGTCTTTTTGGCATATTTCTGAGGCCGTCCCTTCTGAGCCCTTGCAGTCTTATGCGCTGCATCAATCGGGCATTAACAGCTTCAGTTGTTCGGTGCAGAAGAACGAGCTAGTGGTTTTGACTGGCGGCGATGACAACTGCGTTACATTGTCTTTGTTTCTTATACGTCCGCTTGGGCGCAGTACAACCATCTGCAAAGTGCACCAATTTCAGAACAAATCCATTCATTGCGCTCAGATAACTGGAGCCCTCCTCAGCAAGCGCTATGCGATCACCAGCTCCATCGACCAACGAATTGTCTTGAGCAAATGGACGTGTTTGCATAACCAAGTGAGGATGATACAGACGTTCACTTACAACACGGCTGTCACCGATCTGCATGGCTTGGAGGGAACATTTGGCCAACGACTGTGCGCTTATGGGGACGGGTTTGAGATTTTAGATGTGAATGTGCCAATGCCTCAATCAACAGACGATGTTCTTGATGATGTCGATGCCAAGGATAACCAACATCGTCAAGCACCCTTATGATACATAATGGAGCTGGAATTGGTTTAATAAAGTTGCTTGCATTAGCTGTTGCACCGTGAATGGTTGGGTTTCAAACTCTTTCTTCTGCTTCCAAATTTTATTCACCTCGGTAGCTTCACCTTGAAGCTTGACCGATTCCTCTTGGATCTGTTGCAGTTGGTTCTGAAGCGTCTGTAAGTCTTGCATGAAGTTCTGATGTTTGCGCTGCAGCGTTTGAACAGAGCCAACGTCTCTGTTGAGCAGGAAGAGCTGCA